GGAAGGAAGGAAGGAAGGAAGGAAGGATCATTAATGATATTAGCTAATTGGTTTATGAAATGAGCAGCAAGGGAGGGGAGGGAGAGGATATCCCCCCCCCATAGCTCTGCTGATGCTGGATGAGAAAAGGAAGGAAGGAAGGAAGGAAGGAAGGAGGGAGGGAGCTAATCGGAAGGAGAAATGAGTGGAAGACCCCCACACACAGCGCACCAGAGGTACCCTTTCTGCCCCCACCCCCCCACGACAGAGTCATGCTCAAACAGAAGCCATCTCAATGTGACCACATAGGAACCATGGACACGTTTTCGCGCGCGCGCGCACACGGCTGACACACACACGTGAAAGCCACACACACACACACACACACACACACACACACACACACACACACGTGCGCACGCCGGGCAAGGGATGCTGCCCAGCAGCCTGAGAATGGCTCCTTCGCCCGGCTTTGCAACCCGCCCCCCCCAAGCACCCTCAAGGCTGCAGCGTCTTTTCCCCCAGGGGAAAAGATGGGAGTTGTAGTCCTCGCGCCCCGCGAGCTATTGGAAGGAAAGAAGACCCACCAGCCCCCCCCAACCCCCAGTTCCCCCCCCAAAAAACCCACATGGCCTAGGCGTGGAATGGGGGGGCAAGAGAACCGGAGTCCTCCTCCCTGGAAGAGGCTGCAGCCCAAACCTCTCCTGGCCGGGGAAGGCATGCAGAGCGCTGCCAGCTTCCCCCCCCCCCCCCCGCCGGCATCTCCCCGCCGCGCAGGCGGATGGGCTTTGTAGTCCCCCCGCCCCTGCAACCCTTTTGGGCCGGCTGCCTCTTCCCCGGGGGAGGGGGAGACGGGGAGGGCCATGGGCTTCTCCAGGCGAGGGTCCTGCGGCCCCTTCCTTGCCTCACGCCCCCCACCAGCCCCCCGCTCACCTCCCCCGCCCCAATGGCTCACCAGCTTCAGGTCGAGCACGCCGTCCTTGGCCTCCTGCAGCAGCGAGACGAACTTGGTGGTGAGCAGCCCCAGGCTCTTCTCGTGCCGGCTGGGCGCGCCGCCCGGCGGCTGCGGTCCGGACTCCGCCATCCGGACGGCTCACACCTGCCGCCGCCGCCGCCGCCGCCGGTGTGCGGATCCCCGCGCTCGCTCCGCCGCGGCGCCCCCTCCTCCACTCCGCCGCCGCCGCCGCCGCCGCTTCCGGCCGCCGCGGGGCATGACGGGAGGGGGAGGAGCCAGCTCCATCTTGAGGAGAAAGGGCGGGCCTTCCCCGCCGTCTTTTTCTCCAAGCCCCCCCCCCCCGCCCGATCGGCTTTCCTTGTGCGGCGTTCTCTCTCTCTCTCTCTCTCTCTCTCTCTCTCTGTGTGTGTATAGCGACGCCTACTGGCCAGGAGACGAACAGACTCGGGGGAGCCCCAACCTTTTTGCAATTCTTGGTCGCAGAGAGAACTAGGGCAAAGTTCCCATCATCCGCAGCCCAGCGCGGTTGCTTGGCACTACAGTTCTCATCATCCCTTCCCCTCCCCAAGCCGGCATAGCTAAAGGCCTTGGGGACTGCAAAGCTTGAAGCCGAAAAGGCTTGGTGAAAAAAAAACAAGATAATAATTCAATTAATACAAATAATACAATTAATACAAAAGCAATAATAGCTGTAAATAAAACAATAAATGCAATATATAACACTAATGTAGTGGTTAAGACATCAGGATAGAACCCAGCAGCCCATAGTTCTAGTGCTGTTTTAAGCACAGCTAGGTGACCTTCAGCCTCCCCTAACACTCTTGTTTAACCTTTGCAAAGTTCCTGCCTTTTTTACCAAGACACCAGATAGATGTCCCATGCATTTTAGTAGATATAAGTCGAGAATGCTTTTTTTTCTTCTCAGAATAATGGAATCAACCCGAATAAATAAAGCTCCAAAACAGAACCTCAAGGATAGGTGAATTATCTCGGTGAAGCCCTTTCTACATAGTTGGGGATACCTGGATTATTTTCCAGACCGTTCTTATATTTCAAAACACTGCTTCCCACCCTGAAATGCAACACACAAATAATTAGTTTGTGAATTGTTGTGCCTTAGAGTTATCTGGGAATGACTTTCAGACGGCAACTGAGTTGCACTGCTACCTAGTAGTCAGATAACCAGGCCTCCCGTAGCTTTGAACTATTGATCTTCAGGTCAGCCAGAAGCAACTAATGTCTGAGAACATTGATAATGGGAAACAACATGCATACTAACGAAGAGTGGGTGTGTGTGAGAGAGAGAGACACACACACACAGAGACAGACAGACAGAAATACACACACAAACAAACAAACACATACACACACAGAGACACTTTTTGGGATAACTGAAACTGCCAAACTCCAAAGACAGCGTTCTCTGCTGTGATGCAAATGCATTCAGGGAATAAGACATTGGATTTGTAAGATATTGCTATGTTTTTAGAAATCTCTTTGGGAAAAGTATTATTGCTATGTAATAGTTGCATCTAAAGTATCACTTCTGTCCTGTTTATTTTTACAACCTTAGGGATACATAGAATGTGGGAACAAATATATTGTGTGCTTATTCCTGGAAAAAGTAGGCATACATAAGAGATAGTTTCTACATTGGGCTAAACTTGGCAATGTAATTGACCACTCTGCCCTTGTAATTCACTGATGCTGTTACATTTTTAACATCTTTGGTTCAAAATCTACTGTGATTTATCCCTGGGGGATTTTTTCAGAAATGAACATGAATAAAAAAAATTTCAAGAATGGAAAGAAGGACACCAACATGGTTTTAAGGAACATATAATTATTCTGTCTGAGAAGAAAGAAACATATTTGACTGATTTGGTAATAAATGTCCCTTGTCTTGATTTTTAAAAGGGACAAAATTTGCACATCTATGGAGATTATCAGTCATCCAGGTCATAATTGTCTCAATGGTGCTTTTTCAAAAAGGCAACTGGAACTTTTTTTTCCTGGAGGAGGAAGATGAAAACATTTCACTTCTCATCCACGAAGCTGAATAGAATGGAATGGAATAAAGAATAGAAGGGGAGGGGAGAGAAGAGGAGAGGAGAGGAGAAGGGAAGAGAGGAGAGGAGAGGAGAAGGGAAGGGAATAGAAGAGAGGGGAAGGGAAAGGAATAGAAGAGAAGGGGAGAGGAGAGGAGAGGAGAAGAGAAGGGAAGGGAATAGAAGAGAAGAGGAGAAGAGAAGGGAAGGGAATAGAAGAGAGGGGAAGGGAATAGAAGAGAGGGGAAGGGAAGAGGAGAGGAGAAGGGAATGGAATAGAAGAGAAGAGGAGAAGAGAAGGGAATAGAAGAGAAGAGGAGAGAAGGGAAGGGAATAGGAGAGGAGAAGGAAAGGGAAGAAAAGAAAGGAAAGGGGAGGGGAGGGGAAAGGAGAGGAGAATACATAACAGAGGTACAAATGACAGACTCAAAGATTCATCGCTTGAATCCTCAGGTCCATAATGATGAAGCTTCTTGGATGAGAAGCAAAATGTCATCTTCTTTTTCTTCCTCCAGGAAAAAAAAAACAGCCCAGTTTCCCTTTTTGAAAAAGCACCTTGGAGGAAATTTACGTTCCCCCCCCCACCTATTGATGCATCAGGTCAGCTCCAGAGTTGCCATAGTCCAACACCCAAATCTCCCGAGTAATGCATTAGTTGACTTGAATGTTTAGAAATCAAACACAAACATTCACGAAGGAACTGCATCTACAGGCAGAGCAGAATAAGAAAGATCTCTGGATCCTGGCCAAGAGGATGCACGGATTCTTCCTGTGGTCAAAAGCCAGCAGCATCATTGATACGCTGAGCTGTTTTGTGCTGTTTCATCTGCATGCCCAAAGAATGAAACTGACCGGTAGATTAGCTGTTTCTCCCTCCCCCCCCCCCCCCCCCCCCCCCCCCCCCCCATTCTGACATCCTGAGTGTTTCTGCTTCAGTGCTACAGAGCAAACCCAGCCCCAAGGAATATTAACTGACGGAAACGCTATTCACTGGCTCGCCTTCCTCTGCTCGGCCAGGTCCAGTCCTCAGCACTGAACCAGGGGGATCCTGCTGCCACTGAAGCCATGGGGATGTCTGCAGAGGACAGCGTTTCCACCCGTCCCAGAGGTAACAATCGACAAATGAAGGTTGGGGATTTTCTATATAGGGGCAGAAGCATGGGATATGTAACTCTCTCTACTGAGCAACAGCCCAATACGTAAGTCAACTACTTACGTCGATCTGTCTCTTTCTTCCTTTGACGTTTTCCACAGCAGTCACAGCCAAAGAATAATTTTACTTGCTACGGGAGGTGGGGGACGCAGGAACCCAATTCCCAAACTTTTGTGGTTGGAGCCAGGACCAAACTGGAATCTGGTTTATATTGGAACAGAAAGTTCAAGCTACTTTAATTTGGCGGCGTTCCACAAATCCCCTTCCATCTCTCACTTTTTTAAAAAAAACGTTGGTTTAGGGACAACTCGGATTTTTGCAAGCCTTGATCAGAGTGTGTCACCCCGAGGGATTGACACCAGGTCTTCTCATTTCATTCTGTTTGGGGACCAACTGGGCTGAGCGGTTTTGGGAGGCTGCGTTTTCGTTGCCTTCTTACTATATATAGTGGGAATAGCTTCAATTCTGCTATTCCCACTATATATAGTAAGAAGGCAACGAAAACGCAGCCTCCCAAAACCGCTTACTTTTTCCCTCAAAGCCCCCTAAAAACCCAGCCTCCTCTGTGTAGCAAGGAAGGGATCTTTCATGTTTCAAGGCTGAGGAACCCAGAGCCGATGGTTCACCAGCTGCAGAGTTATGCGTTTCATTTCCTGTTTCCTTCCTGCATCCTTCAATGAAGCATTCCTGCCTGGTTAAAACACACACACCGCCTGGAATTTTACATCCTTTCATTGTTGTTGTCTTAGTGGGAAAATGGCCAGAATTGGAAAAAGCAGAGAAGCTGGCAAGAGGGGCTGCCTTGAAGTGGGCATCTGGGGTGTTTTATCAACCAGACAAGCTGGATAGTCTTCCGCAGTACCAGATTCGGGAGATGCAGCGTAACAGGTTCATCGAATCCCGCATAAAGGTACGCAAGCATGGCAGGTAATTTCAATTACCTGATCTTGAAGGTCCTTGGTGCTCTCTGAGCTTGGTTGTTTTCTTGCAGATGTTTCATTACCCATCTAGGTAACACCATCAGTGCTAGAAGGGAGTGGGGTTTGCACTCTGTTCATATACAACCGGATTGCTCTGCCAGTGTTGGTGGAAGTATTCTGGATAGTTCCTTTATTAGGCTGTTGTTTACAGTCTGATTGGGTTTTTTTTGAGTTGGTAGTTCCTAGACTACCAGAATCTTGGACCAAGAGTATTGGAAGAAGGCATCGGGTCCAACCCTCTGCTAAATTAAAACACAGATGCATTATAACACACTACAAAATGGGCAGAGTTCAAGACACAACAGCACAATATTGCTTTTGACTGACCCCGCCCATACATGTCTCTATTAACCCATCCCCAACAGATGACTGTCCAGCCTCTGCTTGTACTCAACCAGAGAATGAAATTTCAGTCATTTTCCCCAACCTTCATTGCTTCTACTCTCAAACTGTTTTTAACTATCAGGAAGTTTTCTTAACAGTCAACCCAAGCCTGCTGTCCAGTAACAAGAGTTTTATCCCATGTCTTCCCCTCCAGAATAAGTTTCAATCTTTTCTGGTGTGATTTCTAGAGTTATTTGACAAGCTCTGTAGGGAGTCCTCGTTTAGTGACCATAACGCTGCAGGGGGTCCTTGTTTAATCCTCATTTAGTGACCATACTTAGGGCAACTCGGTTGCTAAATAAAGTGGCTGCTAAAAGAAACCACAATTGACTTTATTTATGATCTTAATTTAACTCTTCCCTGGTTTGTGAAGGTTGCAAATGTGAGGATTAATCACAAGATTATTTTTAAATCACCAACAGCAAAGAGTTGATAAATGAGGCAATTGCTAAATAAGAACTGTCTGTATTGAGTTTGAGTTTTATTTTCTTTCAGGCTAAGAATAGCTTGTTCCTTCAGTCTTTCCAGTTGCAATTAATTTATGTTCCAATTAAATCATATTTCTTGCCTTTTTTGGAACAAACCTGTTCCAGTTTGTTTCTGGCTTGTTTGAATCCTTTTAAAAGTACCCTTAACCTGTCATTTTATAGTGAGATGAGAATTTCTGTAATGTACAATTTTTCCAAAACTTTCTAATACTGGCAGGAATTGGGTGATCACACAACAATCCCCCAAAACTCCTTATCCATTTAATTTTATTCTTGGAATCAAATCTTTAAAAAAAATACCAAGGCAGTTTTTGCTTCCAGCACTGGGCCATGCACAGTTTGTCCTTATAAACAGTCCTCCCAGCTGCAGCCCATGAAGGGGATCAGGGCCCTTTCCTCCCCCATAGACCACACCATTCAGGTTTCTCCCTTATTTGCTCCTCCCTGCGTGCAGTAGGATGAAGAGGGGATGGGCCTGGGTCTTCCTCTGAATGCCCAGCCGGCCTGTGCCCTTCCCCAGTTTCCTCCACAACCTCCGGAACCACACTCCCACTCCCTGTCGGCTGTTCCTCCTTTCCCTCGGAGTCAGATTCTAACAGGGGCATGACAGCAACACACACTTGAAAAGTGAATCTGGCTTTCCCATTGACTTCACTTGTCGGAAGGTCAGGGAAAGGGTTCACATGAGCTGGGACACTGCAACAGTCATAATTATGAACCCGTTGCCAAGTGTCTGAATTTTGATCACGTGTCCATGGGGATACTGCAACGGTCGTGTGAACAATGGCCGTAACTCACCTTTTTCAATGCTGTTGTAGCTTTGAACAGTCACTAAATGAACTGTTGTAAGTCGAGGACTTACCCGTAATGACTTAACTTCTGGCTTTGCCTCCAGTCCACTGCTCAGTCCTACCTGGAAGGCATGAACACGGGCCTGGAGGAGCTGCATTCTGCCCTCGCCAATGTCCAACCCATACAAGAAGAACTGGCGACCATTGAGAAGGATCTCACATCATGCATCAAGTCTTTTCGGAGCTTACGGGAGCTACGAGAACTGGGCACGAAGCATGGCCAACTGGAGGCAGTGGTCCAGATGTTGCCCCAGCTTTTCTCAGGTGACTTGGGCACTGCGGAACCCCACCGTCTGGCTGTGCCATTCCGAAACCCATTGCAAAATTTTATGGCCTTAACACGGAAGCATGAGCCCTCTGAATCTCTTTCTAGCCCGCATGAAAACCTTAGATTTAATTCCCCCTTATTTTCATTCCCCAAAACTAAGTTTGATCACATTTTCATAGCAAAGCACAGGTATAGAACTAGTTATGTATATATTTGTCTCAGAAAGGGGGAAATGTTAAGAATATGGGAAAATAGTCTTACTAGCTGAACGTTATTATTGCTTCAGTTTCAATTAAATGTCAGCAACATGACATTTTATTCTTCTTTTGGCCCCAGTGATCTTCTGGAGTGGAGATCTTGATTTGAAGACCAAATTTAACTTCCATCCCCCAAAGTTTGCATAGGCTTTCTCCAAGCCAGGAATGGAGATTTCTATACTAGTTATATCAGAGTTGTTTTTACTCCAACACGGTTTCCGCTTTTTTCCCCTTGTTCTTTATTATTTTCAATGCTCTCTCAAGCAATACAAATATAAATACAATTGTGAAAGAATAAGAATGAATTTTCAACTGGAGTCCAATGTGTTAAATGCTGTTTTTATATCAAGGTGTAAAAACAGGTGGAAACCTAACATGAAATTAAAAGGGCTATTTCATTGTGGAAAATAGGCTGATTTTTAAAAAATAATTTAGAAACAAAAAGAAATTTTAATTGCCCACCAAGAAGAAAAAATAACACATTGTAAGAACTTTTACAGTCAGAAACTGGGGGTGGTGCATTCAGTGGCCAAGCTAATGGAATGGCTAATTACTGTGTGACTTCTCGTTAACAGATATGGCTTATTGATTAATTTGTGTTTTTTTCCATTCCATTTTTCTTTTAAGACAGGGTGTCCAACTTTGGCAGCTCTAAGTGTCGTGCCCCTGTCAGAATCTGATTCAGAGGGGGAGGCCGAACGGCTGACAGGGAGTGGGAGTGTGGCTCCATTGGCTGTGCAAGAAACTGGGGAAGGGCAAAGTCCGGCTGGGCAGAGCAGAGGAGAGGTACAGCAACGGAGAGGGAATTCGGAGGAAGACCCAGGCCCACCCCCTCTTGATCCTAGGGCACGCAGGGAGGAATAGAGAAGGGAGCAACCTGAGTTGCGTGGCTTACGGGGGGAGGAAAGGGCCCTGATTCCCTTCCTTAGCTACAGCTGGGAACACAGCGTTTAAAAAGGGAAGCAAACTGTTGAGAGCAAATTGTGGAATTTATCGCGAGGCTTATCTGTGTTCCTGGCGTCTTCCCAACTTGTGTGTTTTGCTGTGCTTTCAAGTCTGCAATTCCTTCTCCTCCCCTGTCTAGTTAATTACTGCAGCATGGTTTGTTTGGATTTTTAGTTACAGTTTGTATGTACTTTGTTTTCGGACTGAATTTTCTCCACTTAAAGGCTGTTCTTGGGAGAGTTTTTCTCCAGCCGAAGATAAGCTGGACACTGGGGGCAAAATTGGAGATAATAAAGGGACTCCTTTTTGCTTATTGAACTGTGTTGCCTTTATGCCATCATCACATTATATCATCACATTAAGACTACCTGGCTGGGGAATTTTGGGAGTTGAAGCCCATGGATCTTAATGCTGCCAAGGTTGGTCACCCCTGTTCTAAGGGATTGAGGAAAGTAGGCATGTTTTTCCTCTGCTCAGTATACCAACCGCTGTTCGATGTTGTCTTTATTTCCTTTCCTTTTAGAGGTTTCCTTTTGGAAAACTTAAACTCGATCCCTGCCTTTCCTTTCCTCTTCTCCCTGCAGTGCCTCAACTCATTTCAGAAGGCTTCTACCACTTACAAAGCCAGAACCTCCTGAAAGCCCATCTAGGGCTCATGGATCTGGAGAGATTACGGGATAGCATCCTGTCCCAGTTGCATAACCGCAGCCTGCTCAGCCCCTCGAATCGGACCGATGTTGAGTCTTACTTTGGAGGCCTCTTGGAACTGAACGATGCCTTGGCACAGCATTTGTGGCGCACAGTTGCCCATGCCACAAAGGTGGTATTGGAGGACCCATCTCTTTTGGTGTCAGCCGTACGGATCATCGAGAGAGAGGAAACTATAGATGCCGCCGTGGCACTGAGGTCCCAACCTCATGGCTTCCTCCCACCGGGACGCCCAAAACGTTGGAGAAGGAAATTCTTCCAAGTTGTTCAAGACACTGTCATAGCTTCCTATTTCCAGGCTGAGCCAAACAAGACTCAAGGCCAGGGGCTTAGTAGCCACTTGGCATCCCTGCAGAGTAGCATCCTAGCAGAATTAGGCATCGTGAAAGATTGGCTGGTCCAGTGCTGCCCTCCTCATTACAACATCCTCACGGCCTTCGCCACCATGTTCCACCAAGGCCTAACCGATCACCTGCATCACATCCTTACCTGGGAGCTAGATAAACAAGAGATCTTCGCTCTCCTTCACTGGTCAATTCATGTCTACCCAAGGTGGGTGCCACTGCTAGTGGGTGCTGAAGGCCGGGAGGCATTTCCAAGCTTTTTAGGAAGAGATTCTGGAAGCGATATTGATGATTGTAGCATCCATATGAGCCAACCGTGTGCAGCAGCTGCCAAAAAAGCCAACACAGTTCTAGGCTGCATAAACAGAGGGATAGAATCAAGATCACGTGAAGTGTTAATACCACTTTATAAGGCCTTGGTAAGGCCACACTTGGAATGCTGCATCCAGTTTTGGTCGCCATGATGTAAAAAAGGATGTTGAGACTCTAGAAAAAGTGCAGAAAAGAGCAACAGAGATGATTAGGGGTCTGGAGGTTAAAACATATGAAGAACGGTTGAAGGAACTGGGTATGTTTAGTCTAATGAAAAGAAGGACTAGGAGAGACATGATAGCAGAGTTCCAATATCTCAGGGGCTGCCCCAAAGAAGAAGGAGTCAAGCTATTCTCCAAAGCACCTGAAGGCAGGACAAGAAGCAATGGGTGGAAACTAATCAAGGAGAGAAGCAACTTAGAACTAAGGAGGAATGTCCTGACAGTTAGAACAATTAATCAGTGGGTGCATGTTAGAATTTTACTTGGGGTGTCTCCAATCCAGCCTGGCCTGTTGAAGAAGGCTGCTAAAAACTTCCTTCTGCATTTTTGTCCCGATTCCCCCCTCCCTTTTTAAAAACATCAGTTCTGAAATGATGGCTCACCCAGATCTGCTTCCTGAAGTCGACATCTCAACCTTGGCTCCTCTGCTTCCAGCAGATACCATCAGCTCTCTGGAAGAGTCTTACCTGGGGAAAGTACAGGTGAGTTAGAAGACCAGGTTCAGGGTTTCGAAAATCCAATTATCTGTGGGCACAGAGGGAGATCTGGATGTCTTTAGCAGTGATTGAACTTGAGTCCGTGGGCTACTATGAGAAGGTGACTCAAGGTTTCAGGCAAATTCTTTTCCCCCACTACCTGAAATTTCCTTGGAGATGCTGAGAGTACATTGTAAGACTCTATTATCTACATCCAAAATGCTTCCAAGCCACATTATTGCCATTTATCCTAACATTACCATTGGAGAAGAGTTCAAATCCTCTTCAGGGACCTTTCTGCGGGGTGGGCAGGGGTGAGGGGGAGGCCTTGTTTTAAAGAGAAAAGCAGGAAAAATATTTAATAATATTGAGAACTGACACAACCACAACAAGACGTATCTCAGAAGGCATTATACTATGGGCAAGTTTCCAGCAAGACCTGACAAGGATAAACAAATGAATGTCAGTTTCTCATCTTCTATATATATATATAAAAGCAAAAATAGCACTCACGCATCATCACAAAATCTCCAGAACCGTAAAGCCTACAAACTTGAATTTGGGCACGTATGTTCCTCTTGGCTTCTAGGTGCTCACTAAGAAAGGATTTTTCAAAATGACCATCGGAGCATTCGTATTTCCTATATTATTATTATTAACACGCTCTGATGCTAAGGAGTTCTACTCCCCCTCCCCACCTGAAAAGAAATCTGTTCCAAATGCAAAACACAAGCAGAGGAGAGGAGTTTCCATTTTAGTTTCACAGCAGCAACTAGCTTTAGTACAGAACAGTTGAGCTAACCCACGCCCAGGCTCCTTGCTGTCTCCTTCTTGCTCACATCAACAAATACTGTTTCAGTATCTAAAGAGCCCTCAACTCTCTTGCACACTGGCAAGACGCTAGCCAGATGAATACCAATGGATGCTGATAGGCAGAGGTAGAATTTTTTTGGCCTTATTTTTCTCCCCCAAAACTAAGCCCAACCACATAGTTTCGTAGCGAAGCATGAGCATCGAGCTAGTTTTGAATAAAAAAGGAGAAAAAAGCGGTCAATTAAATTTAACATTTCACGTGTAGTATCCACCCTGGCTGGCTACAGGGAGAAGAAATTCACGGAATATTCACTTCCCGCTCCCTCCCACCCCACCCTGGCCAAGGAATGCTGTCAGGACGATTTCGTGCCACTCCTTTTCTAATCCTGGAGCGAAGTAGCTAGAGAGACCTGCTCTGTAGCTATCAAACCAGCCATTGCCTAGCAGAACAGAGATATGTGCCGCTAGTTCAAAGCACCATCCTGGGCGGAGTCCCTCCCACTTCAGGAATCTTGATTCACACTCTGACTTGAATAAAGGTTGACCTAATGGTGGAACACCAGCAGCCTCCTTGGGGCTCTGGGGAGAGCCCAGGGAGATGGGCTGAGTCTTGCGGCCATTTTACTGCAACAGACAGAACTGCAAACAGGAGGGGGAAAGGTGGCAGCCAAGCCAAACCACCGCGCTGTTTATGCTCAATTGCTTTGAGTGGGCTCAAGCAGACTGTTGTGGTTAGCTGGCAGCAGGTGTGGATGGCCGAGGAGAGCGAGGACTCAGATGAGGGGCCAGGACCATTAGGGAATGGACTGCTGCCTTCAGAGATTATGGGGGCTGGCAGCAGCGATGAGGAAGTTCCCGAGGAGCCTGTGCCAAGGGCGCGTGCACACAAGGTTGCTCGCAGGAAAGAGCAGCTGCAGGAGCATGGGCAACTCAGTAGTAAGGCTGCAAGTTAATGGCCCCTCCTTCAAGAGGATAAAAGCCAACTGGGAATCGGACGTTCTTTGCAGGAAGCAAAGACGTTTTGAAACTCGAGCCTCATGGACATTGCAGTATCTTAGTTGGCATCTGAAGACTCTTGTGTTGTAAAATATTTCCAGGTGATCTTATCTGTTATTCGTGGCAGACTCGCACAGTTTTGGTGAGGCTCATGCTTATCAGCAGCCTTTTAACTGGGGATTCGTAAGAATCATTGAAAGGTTTCTGTTCCCTTTGATTCGTGTTTGTTTTATTGGAAAAGGGTTTGGGGTCAGAACACAGACCAAATGAGACACGTGAATCGCAACAAGTGGGAACTAGTAAAAGATTTGGACTTTGAGTTCATTCCAAAGGCTCAGGATCACTTGATCCCCGTTGTGTTTCCTTCCTCTAGGCGAGCATTGCAGAATGGATGCAGAAGGCTCTAGAAATGGAGTTCGAGGAATGGCTTTGGGGCAAAGAACCCGAATCCGACTATCAAGGCTTCTTCCAGAGCAACCTGCCTATCATTGCCATGAAGGTTAGGAGGAGGAATTGGGGAGGCAAGGAGAGAAGCGTTAGCTAACTGAACAAAGAAGATATTTCTAATTGTAGAAGCCAAATCAAGAGTTTGATTTCCCCATCTGTTTTTTTCCCCCTCTCTCTTTCCCATTAAATATCTCAGATGCTTGATGAAAACATTAGAGTGGTATCGCTCATCTCTGGTATTCTCCAGCAGAAAGTTCTTGAAATGGCTTTGGGAGAGTTGGAGGCCTTTTTGGGCAGGTCAGTTTCATCTTGTATGC